GTGATAATGGCGCATCAGGGTATCCCACGACTCGTGGCCAACACAAAGACGAATCCATCTCACGATCATCTCAATGCTTAGTAGAGATCACAACTTTCGCCACAAAGCCACCCCACGACTCATGGTATGTGACTAAGCACCGTAGCATCGTCATGTCATCTACTTTTGATGGAAAGCATGGATTAATAGGTCCAACCTATTTTTATCCATTATAATTTGATATGGAATTAATCGAATTAAATTCCTTAATAGTTTCAAAAACTTAGGGTTTATTTTCAAGACCTCATCAACTTAAATTAATAAGTGGGTTTATTTAATGCAACATTCATCATATGAAACGCAAGAAACAAGCATTAATTAAATCTAATATGCATCTAATGCAGAAAGCGATGGGTTGATTACGGCCATGCCTATGCGACCCATTCGAGCCAAAATGGGTCTATGCCTATATACGGGATAAAATAAATAGAACTACTTCTATTACATTTTATTTTATCAACCCGTACAAGCACAGGCCTTCTACTTTTACAACTTGTAAAATTACCCACACAAGCATGGTCCTTTTTCATCGAACGGCCTCCAATCAGAATTACAAAACCTCACGATCTAATCTACTCTCGATGCAATAATTTAAAATTATACAAATTATTGAATAAAAGACTCGCGGGTCTCGATAAATTACAAACATTCAATCATATTGAATAAAAGGCTCATGATCTACCATAAATAAATATGCTAAAAACGTTCATCACATGAATTAAAAACATATAAATTTATCTACTTTTGTGTGTTGATTTAATTTCGGGATTAATATTAACTATTCACAATAATTAATCTAATAATAAAAAAACAAATAAATACATGTTTGTATTTACTAACAGAGAACCATCTCTGTTCAAAACTTCAAATATTTTGCAGGATTCGGACGTCGCATGTCAATAGAGAATCAATTTTTATTTTTTTTTTTTTATTATTGATTGCAGCATGTGGGGTGCAATCAATTGCCCCACCAAACACTTTGATTAATTAAAATACAAACAACCCATCAATAGGTGACGGTAGGTAGAAGAACATGTCCACCTCACTATCCTTTTATTTATTTATTTTTTATTATTGAATATGTCAATAGTGCAAATCTCATTTGCATTGAATAAATCAAAACCAATCTCATTTGTAATTATTATTATTGATTGCAGCATGTGGGGTGCAATCAATTGCCCCACCAAACACTTTGATTAATTAAAATACAAACAACCCATCAATAGGTGATGGTAGGTAGAAGAACATGTCCACCTCACTATCATTTTATTTATTTATTTTTTATTATTGGATATGTCAATAGTGCAAATCTCATTTGCATTGAATAAATCAAAACCAATCTCATTTGTAATTATTATTATTGATTGCAGCATGTGGGGTGCAATCAATTGCCCCACCAAACACTTTGATTAATTAAAATACAAACAACCCATCAATAGGTGACGGTAGGTAGAAGAACATGTCCACCTCACTATTCTTTTATTTATTTATTTTTTATTATTGAATATGTCAATAGTGCAAATCTCATTTGCATTGAATAAATCAAAACCAATCTCATTTGAATAAATCAAAACCAATTTGTATGGTCGTCTTCGATTCGGATGAGGTCGAAAGTTTCTTGAGTAGGGGGAGAAAAAGATTTATGGGTGAGCAGACCACAAAAGTGTAAGAGGTTATCATCCTCGAGTAGAGTTTTTGACGCAACGGGCTTACGGTTCCATACAACAATCTGTTGGTCGAAGAGGGCGTTCTGAGAGGGTGACGCATACTCACGCTTGAGCTCCTTAAGCCACGGAGTCGGCGCCCAAGGAAAAGCAGAGCTAGGTTAGACAAAAGCAAATTTATCTTTCCACTTGGGAACGTTCGAAGGGGTGTCCGAGATGAAGTGGACATCATTACGGCTCTTGAGGTAGAGCCCTTGAGAATGTTTTGAGGGAGTGTAACAATAATGGAAAAAGTCTAGGTCGAGTCGACCTAGACGAAGGTGGCAGAGGATGATGAAGACGGTTATAAAGCGGATAGCGTTGGGAGGGAGCTGGTTCAATGGAAGGTCAAACCATTTGCAAATATCGAGCAAGTCTTGGCACAAAGGAAAATAGACACCAAGTTTAAATTGGATCTCCAAAAAAGTATAGCAATTTTGGGGAGGATTATCGTAAGTGTCCTTAGGGCCAGGAGACACAAAGGCCCAAGTGGCAGGGTGACCGACCTCGTCAACGTCCAGCCAGCCGGCTATAAGAGCACGAAAAGAAGTCTTTTTAGAAGAGGAAGAGGTTTTGGTCGACTTGCTCTTCTTCTGGATAGCCTTAAAAGAAGTAGAGATAGGGGCGGATTGGTTTTTGGGTGAAGCAGAAGTGGCCTAAGTTGCAGTTTTGGATTTGAGAAAAGCAGCGGTGGTCGAGGATTTTACTTTGGATTGGGAATGAGTGCTTTTCCTAGGATTACTCGAAGAAGCGGCTTTGGAAAAGATGGAATGGTGAGAGAGGGGAACATCATCCTCATCCTTCTCGGCGGCGGCCTCAGAGCATCGTGAGCCGCTTCAGTGGCGTCAGAAGCCCCAAAAGCTGATCGGCAGCAGGTAAGGGGAATGTTATCAAGAGTGTCCTCGTCTGATTCATCAATCAGCCGGCGAGGTTGGGGAGAAGGAGGAGGTGTTGAGTAATCGAAAGGGCGAAGAAAATTGAGAGGAAGGGGATTGTAAACCTCTTCAACGAAACGGGAAAGAGAATGAGGAATAAGTCGGCGAATCGGAGAAGATGACAGATTGGTCATGTCTTCGTCGGAATGGTGAGTATTCTCAGAACAAGCAGCAGAATCTGAAAAATAAAGGCAAAATGTTAAAGGGAAAAACCTTTAGGCGCCCCAGGGAAGAGCAGAGAGGGGAAAAGGAGAAGAATTCCGCGGCTAGGGTACGGACGGAACTTCAAAAGAGAAGAATCGGCAAAACCGAAGAAACAACAGAAAAAATTTAAAATTAACAAAGGAAAACAGAGTGCGAGAAACTTATTCATGGTCGCAGTAGAGAGTTGTTGGAGAACTTGAAGATGATGAAAGCCAAAAGCGCCGATAGCAGGGAAATTTGATTTGCACGAAAATTTAGGGCACAAGTATGTTAAGGATGGCAGAGGTGAGAAAAGCTGAAAAATCGATAAGTACAGTACTTATATGGATACAGACGAAGACAAGTTGAAGAGTTGGGAGAGAGAGCCATTAGATTAAAGCGAGATCTAACGGTTGGTAGAATTAAATGAACACGGATAGCGAAGTGGCGCAAATCGCGAGGAGGCATAATAATTAAAGTACTGAGCAGATGAGACATGTGGCAAAGAAAAACATTATCAATAATAAAGGAAAATGAAGTACGGCTGGAAATTTATAATGGAACCAGCCACGTGGTCGGAAAAGGGAATGAGGCTCAATAAATGGTCTAAGAATAGAGATAACACCGGTCAAGGGGTCGAGACGGCGATAGACCCAAGAAGCAAATACAAACTCACTATTAGATTGACTCATTCATACTCGACTAGAGTGGGGAGGACTAGATGATATGGGATATTATATGCCCAAGGAATAAACTGGTTCATTAGGCCAGTCATACGAGTAATAGTAGGCTGAAAGGAAGTGGTCGAATCGTGCAGCAGATTTGGTCAAGGATCGACCTACTATAGAAGAGCCCATTTGATCGACCACTCGGCGAGTGAAAAGCAATCGAGGGCGTAATGTGAACGCGAGAAAGCGCGTGGACTTCGTCAGGAAATCCCAAGGAATATTCAAGAGAATAATTACTCTTTGTTCAGAGGGGCACGTGGCGAGAAGATATTGGTGCAGAGCAATAGTGGCGATAACCACCTCTGACACACACACACTACGTGTGTACGGACGGGCAGATCCGGGCAGAGTTGGGCAGACAACTCACCAAATCCGGGCAGCTCCTAGGGCAGGTACCTCACTCCTATATATATAGGAGTGAGCCTTTCTTGTTACTTACGATTTATCCATTTTTTACTCTTGAGAATTGAGTGAAACACATACTGACTTAAGCATCGGAGACTCTTCACTGGAAAAACCCCCGGTGTGAGAGTTCTTTGCAGGTACGCGGCGTTCTACCGGCGAGGAGGAGGAAAACAAGTCGATTTCAAGCCGGTCGGAGTGTTTTGCGTTACCACTATTGTAACTTGTTTTTTCTTGAATTTCAAATCTATGTTGATCTCATCTTTAAATCTCCTTACTGCACCCTATAGTTGTGGGGTTGCTTTTTCTATTAGTGCATTTGTATTTTAACTTAATTTTCATCGATAACTATGCCTGTATACTTAAAATTATTCAAGAATTTAGAGCTTTGAAGGTCAACTGCGCATATACGTTAAAACCTCTTTAAATTAATATATTATTAATTTATCGATATAATAAAATCTGTATAAATTAATAAAATCCTCCGGTCCCAACATTATTAATATATAGAGGTTTTACTGTAATTCAATCATCTTGTTGACCTCACTATCCTCAGTGTTACCAATATAATTAAAATAGTACCATAAATCAATCATCCTTACCGATTACATCAACTTTAATTTACTATTCATCTACTCAGATAATTTTAATTGAACATCACTTTACATTATCTCTCTTCTATTTTATATCAAATTTACTTTAATTATTTTAATATAAATCCAAAATCTCACTAACAACTAACCATGCAACTTTTTCCAAAACTAACTATGGTTAACAAAAAAATCAATTCAAACAAAATCAAATCCATATACAATTGATGAATAGACTTGTAATTAAAATATATTAGAATAAAGGTATTTGGAAATCAAAGTTGATCAATAGACTTGTAAAATAAATTAAAATAAAGTTGATCTATAGATTTGGGGCATGATGAATCTGACCACGCCTACTTTGCCAATTGTTTTTTATTTTTTTATTTTTTTGCTAGCTCAAGTGTATTTTTATCTATATAAAGAGCCTGGAATTAAGACATACATGCAAATTAAATTGCTTTTTTTTAGACATACATATAAGATGATGAACACAATTCTTATGATCTTCATGGCCACGATGTGGCTCCTTATCACGCTTCCTCCTCAAGGAGCCTATGGTATTAAAATTAATGAAGGTTAGTGAGTTCCGGCCTTTTTTTAATTAGCTATAAGACAGTTGTTTGTGTGTGTTTTCTTATGAGCACGATAAATTTGTCCATATATATATAAGGCTTCCTTGCAGGCCTAATCATTTAAGCAGTCACAGATATTCTTAAAAAAAAAATATGCATATTATTATTAATTAATCTGATTCATTAATTATTCCATTGGTTTTGTTTGACTGCAGGCGATGTTCTACTTACGTTGAAGAATAACTTAACTGATCCTAACAAAGCTCTTGAATCCTGGGGCACAACGGGCAACCCTTGCGATGGTAAATGGGCGAATATCGCCTGTGACCACTACAATTACGTGTTTGCAATGTATGTGTCGTCTCATTTTCGATCGCTATTTGCTTTGGTTAATTGGTTTATAATTATTTAGTAACCGAAATAATGTGTGTCTAATCTGTGTACTTTATCATTGTCTTTCAATTTTTTTTCTTTTATTATTATTATTATTATTATTTTTAAATTACTCTTTTTGGTAGTGTCCTTAATGGTCTAGGGCTCAGCGGCGAACTTGTCCCGGAACTTTCAAAGTTGAAGAGGCTGAGCACTTTGTAAGTGATGTTTGCAACTGAAGATATCTCTTTATTATTATTATTTTTTTTAATTTTTTTTTTTTTAAAAAAAAAACCGATAGTATTTTTTTTTTTTCAATTTTGTAATTACTATATATATAGATATATATTTTCTTTTAAGATAATATGTTCCAGCTGTTATCTTACAATTTTGACGTGGATTTGCAAGGAAAGTTACCTACAGAATAATCTGCTGACTGGCACCGTACCTTTTCGCGCATTTAAATATCTCATTCATCACAATCATGCTACAATGTGAGTCCTTACCTAAGCAGAAAGTGCACAAAACATTTATGACCGTCGGATCATTTGAAATTTTACATTTTTTATTCACTCATTCTTTAGAGTTTCCGATTTCGAATTTCAATCTCTATCCGTTGACGACGTCCAGTTGCAGATCAGACCATTATATATTTTTATGTTTTAGATTTTTTATTAAAAATATCGTGTAAATATAAAAAAATAAAATAAAATAAAATTATATCAAATTAATATTCGCGAACGAGCTCGTGTTCATTCAATTATTAAACGAGCTTAATTTTTTGTTCGAATTTGACTCGGTTAACAGACGAACGAGTTTTTGTTCGCGAACGTTCAATTCGACTACAACATTAGACTAGTATCAAATTGGTCAAAGAATATATACATTATAAAAAATGCCAACTAATAAATATTGTTCCCAAATATATATAAATAAATAAATATATATATATATATATATATATATATATATATATATANAACAAATTGCAGAAAATATCAATAATTTTTTTTTAGCAAAATGTCCCTGCTACACATATTTTACAATTTTGGTCGCTATAATTCTATTAGGTGCTTTTTATTACGCAACGCATTATTTGTGCAGGAATTTTAGCAACAACCCAGGATTGTGCATCCCAAGTAAGCATCACCAGTGCCCAAATGAGAATTAAGTAGCTCAACACTTCTGCTCCACAAGCAAAGTTCGGAAGACATCACACACACACACATATATATATAGACAAAATTCAATGAATTTGATTTACAAAGAGTATGAAGCAATCTGTACGGTTGGAGTTCTTTGCCACTTATGTACTGGAGCAACTTTGGTAGCTGTAATAAAATTGTAAACATTGTAATCAGATAAAAGTATTTTTGCCCGTGGGCTGGCAAAACTGGCCGACTATCCCGTAACAGATCATTTGTAGCGATACATTTCGGTATTCGAAGATATTTCCTTCTTCTCTTAAATTAATGCATTTTCAAAAGAAAATCACCATTCACAAGTCCGTTTATGATAATCATGGATGCTCGGGTGTTCATTTTGAGATATATTTGATTATGGATAAAAACTTCATGTGCAAATATGAACTTGTTGACAAATCCCTTGTAAAGAAGTCATATTACTAAATGGACTTTTTCAAAAGTACTCCAAACAAATAGCCGGTTCATGGAAAAAAACGAATTCTAAAACTCATACTGTTATGGTAAAAAACCAACACAACTGGTGTTATAGAACAAACATTAGTAGTAAATATTAGCAGCCATTACACAGTACTACTTAATTACTCATACTGTTATGGTAAAAAAACAACACAACTGGTGTTATAGAACAAACATTAGTAGTAAATATTAGCAGCCATTACACAGTACTACATAATTAATCAGAGAACGAAGTCATTTCTGAAGCACGAAGACATTTTCACTGTACGCAACACACACAAATTTACTCTCAAGGGAAATACAGTACCTAAACCAAAATTTAACTATTTGGAGAAGATGATAAAGTAATTTATGAGAAAGGTTAAGTGGAATTCACTAGAAACTGCCAAAAAAGTCACAATATCGAATTTCAGTTTGAATCATAACCTTCGCCTCAGGCTTAGTTTTGATTAGAATTAAAAGAAAACATAAAGAGATCCGAAAATAGCAAGAAGATCAAACAATGATAGAGACTTTTCATTGTAAAAACAAATAAAATCTTTTTCTGCTTTTTCTTCACTGAGTTCAAGAACTTCTCATTTCATGAATGATAAAATATTTGTTGTCTACAAGATCAATATATATATGACGGCTGCACACCTATCAAGCTAGGAAAGGCTATACACATCTTTTCATCACAGCCACACAATGCAGCATTACTAGTTGTTTGTCTCCATGCACAGCCATGCTCCACGTCATCCATGACATGGCTGAGTTGTGTAGTCATCCTAACAAGAATGTTTATCAAGGCTCAACTTGGGAGAAACAGTTACAGCTCGCGAGCCTCAAACACATTTGACATTATCAAAAGCTCTATGGCCACCCAAAAGTAAGGAGTCGACATTGAGAAGAATGGCAATAAGGCCCTTTCAAGAAAATGCAACATTTTTTGAAAGAGTCTGAAAACAAGAAATGAGGCGCACCAAATCCCAGAGATAAATTATTTGGAAATGGGTGCCTTTTCAAGCGAAATGGCTTCCTTCTAAAAGGAGCCTTTCTCGATTGAGTATCTTTAAGCGTAACGACGATTAACCGACAGTATCATCATTTCATAGTGCCACCGAGTGAAAGTGAGAAAAACCATATGAAATGACCAACCTTTTTAAGCCAGAGGCTCGTCAAGTCAACAAAGACACTAAAAAGGCATCAACAGTACACAACCATTATCATCAATTGGCCTACAATGGCCATAGTTCAACAAAATTGAGGCCTAAGACCATCTCCAACCGAAAAACTCATTCTCAAACTCATTTTGCAGTAACTGTCACATCAAACAGTAATTCTTCTCCAACCGAAAAACTCATTCTCAAACTCAAAAGAATATTCTCTTCCACAACATATCTTACAACTTTTCAATATTACCTAAATATTTAACAATTTTATAAATTAGACTCTACTCCAATTTCGTTAGAAACATATGTAATAAAATTAATTATTAATAAATAATTCGTATGTATACAAAATTCAAATAAATATTTAAAAGAATTACACTATTGGAAAAAAATATTGCATTGACTTAGCAAATATTGTGTAAATAAATATGTGTATATATATATATATATATCAATATGTTTTTGTTTATTTTTTTTGGTCAATTTTCATGCCATATTATTAGTTATTATTTTTAGATTGTCAATATTATTTATTATTCCAAATTTAGAAAATAATAAAATATAAGTTAAATCAAAATAAATAATATACTAAACACCAAACTATGTCAAAGATATATAATAAATAAAATTTATATAACCATATATAAATATTGAATAGACAAGGGCCAAAATGAAATTGCAAAAAAATTTTGCAGTAGTGAACAGTATAAACGCATATATGCGTTATGTGGAGAGAGAAAATCAACTCAGACGCATTTTGGGATTGGTATTGCAGTTCGGTTGGAGCAAAATTTTGGGTTTGGGTATGCGTTTCCAGCTCGATTGGAGTTGGTCTAAAGAAGTCCCAAGAACCAGCAAGCAATTGAATGCAAATAACCAAAAATCCATAAACTAAGTCATTTGTGTAAATGTATAAACCGTCAGAAAGAGAACTAAATGTACCAGTCACATCTAAAATCCACCACTTTCTCGATTGAGTATCTTTAACCGTAAAGACAATTAATCATACCACCGAGTGAAGGTGAAAGAAGCCATATGAAATGATCAACCTTTTTAAGCTTGAGGCTCATCAAGTCAACAAACAGACTTAAAAAGCATCAATAATAAACAACCATCATCATCAATTGCAAACCAAAATTGAGGCCTAGAAGAAGTTCCCAAGAACAAACAAGCAATTTCATGCAAATAACCAAACATAAGCTAAATCATGTGTAAAACCATATATACACCATCAAGAGAAATGCACTAAAAGCACCAATCACATCCAAAATCCACCACTTTTATTCCATGAAAACACAGTACTATTTCATGTTAACCTACAAACAGTGAGAGAAACTCAACAGAGCCAAAACAACCCATTTCAATTATAAGGAAGAAAAAAGGGAAAAAACTCAACGAAGAGAAGAACAGTAGAGAGCAAAGAAACTCACACACGCTCAAATGGCCTTGAGCATATCCTCAGCACTGCTAACGTTAAAAGCTCCTCCTTCCTCCAGATTCAGGATCTTCACGACCCCATCCTCGACGTACATGGCGTACCTCCTCGATCGAACACCCAAACCCACCGGCTTATCGCTCAAATCAAGCTCACACCCAATCGCACGGGTGAAATCTCCATTGCCGTCGCTCAGCAGCATGACCTCGTCCCCGATCTTCAGATCCTGCTTCCACGCCTTCATCACGAAGGCGTCGTTCACGGAAACGCAAGCGATGGCGTCGATCCCCTTCGCCTTGAGCTCGGCGGCCTTCTCCACGAATCCCGGGAGGTGTTTCTGCGAGCAGGTAGGGGTGAAGGCGCCTGGAACGGCGAAGATGATGGTCCGTTTGCCGGCGGTGAGGTGGGAGACGGAGACGGTCTGGAGCTCGTCGGAGGCGTCGAAGTAGGAGAGGGTGGAGTCGGGGAGCTTGTCGCCGACAGAGATTGCGGATATTTTGGTGGCGGTGGAGTATTTGAGCGGCTGCGGGAGGCGGCGTGGGCGGAGAGCGATTAGGGATGAGGTGGAGGAGGAGAAGGAGAGGGGTTTTTTTAGAGGGGAAAGGAGAGTGGAAAGCTGCCGGAGTTTGGGGGATGCGGCGGCTACGGACCTCGTGACGGCGAAAGTGGCTGCTGTTGCGGTGGCGGCCGCCATTGATGTGTGTAGAAGTGTGTGAAAATGCAGAAGGAAATTGTAAAGAAGTGTGTGTGTGTGTAGCGTGGGGTTGAGGGTGGTTGGGTTTTTGGATTAAATTCGTGATTAATCTATTTTTATTTTTTATTTTTTAATATTATTATTTTGGGCGGATTTAACTATAAGTGAGCCATGTTTGCTTGTTTGTCCATCGAGAAAAAATGATGCTATGGGTGAGAAGTGCTCACACGGTCACCAGATTTTAATTTCATATCCATTTTATTAGTTCATTTCGTTTATTCAATCTTTTTTTCACAAAATAATAATAATAATAATTATTATTATGATGTAATTTGGTTGGTTTTTATAGGACATTATTTGTTTTTAATTTCTAGGTCTTATTATATTGTACGTGTAGTAACCGATTAACTTGATATATATGTACATATACAAGTATTTTCTTTTTTATGCACTATTTGATTTCGGATTTTCAGTTTTTATGGTTCAATTCTACATTCACATGTAGATTCACAATTTTTATGATATACTTCATAAGTGTGATATTTTATTTTTTGATGGTGTTAATAAGTTACTTTTTGTAATTCATTATCCAATAAAAAATGGATTAATCGATATTTTCGATCTCAGTGCTTGAAAGTTTTCCAAAACAGTATTTTCATTGATAAATAAACCAAACAAATGCCCGTCTAATTAACAAACTCAACTCGATAAAAACTTGATCTCAAGATCGAAATTGACTTATTTACACCTACTTGTAAATATGATAAAAACTTGTTATCGAGATCGAACTCGACTTCGATCTCGACTTATTTACACCTACGTGTAAATGTGAAGTCCACCGAATAATTCAAGTTGCTAATTAATGATGCATTGTTACAACTAAGAATTGTAAACGAGCCGAGTCGAACTCGAACTCATGCTGCTCAAGCCTTAACGAGCTTACATCGAGTTCGAGCTTTAACAAGCCAAAATCAAGTTTTAACGAGTCAAACTATAGAAAATTATATAAACAGATCATCTTTTCTAGCCTTAACAAGCTTTACGAGCTGCAAATGAACTTGAGCTCGACTTGTATGATAAACAAGCCAAGTCAACTTTAATGAAGTAACGAACTGAACCGAGCTCACGAGCGGGTCGTGTGACTGTAATAGCAACCAAATGCACTTCAATTTCAGTGGAAAGAAAGCCAAAACAAGCTGGTTACTGAGTACTTGAAACAAAAAATTCAGAGATAAAGAACAAATGGAAGTCATTCACCAAAACACCTAATATTACCTATGTTACGATAAAATCCGATTCGGTTATGCCTAATGAAAAACCGCAAAACATCTGAAAACCCTAATAATATAAAATCAGCTTCAATGCTCGTCAAATGGAATGGAAATGTTAATATCGGGAGATGGCCTATGTGCAGAGCCAGGCCCAGGCCCATTCCACTCGGCAGTATCAGTTGGTGCAGGATTTTGCAAGCCCTTGTGGCTGAAGGAGCTGTCAGTTTGGGCCGAGCCCGGATTTTGTGGGCCCACTAGAAACTGTTGTGCTGGGTAAGTGATGATCTCGGGTGGGGCCTGTGATATGGGCCTTGCGGCTGTGACTGTAGCTGGAGCACATGTTGGGACGCTTTTGGGCTCTGTTTGGTACTTCCTTTTCGGGACCTTGAAACCGTTGGGGACGAAAGTTCCAACCACAATCTGGCCAAATCGAGAAAAAAAAATTATAAAAGGTAAGCAAATATAGCTAAGGCTGTTTAAAATTTCATTCGGTTATTAATTGGAGTCGAGCTTTGATTAAATCCACATAATTTATAATTTGGTTTACCAATGCTCAAACCATGTTTAGCCAATCGAGTTATATACTTAGAAGTTAGAACGTAAATGCACAAGTGCACGAGCATAATACCAAATAGCATTCGTCGGCATATATTGAAAAATGAACGAAAGTTAGTATATTTGAATGTACAAATAATCATATTTGTTCCTATCATACAAACTGCACAAAAACTTCAGGAGTACATGTTAGTTAACAAAAAGCAAGCCTTGAATGGGTGTTTAATAAAAGATTAATTCGTGGAGTTTTATACAAATCAAAAAATTTCTGTTACTAACGAGGAGGAGCTAGCAATCATGACAACAAATACAAAAGATTAATCGTAGAACAACATATTAGCTAATCATTAATCGGGACCAAAAAAAATATGTTCATATTTTTCTTATTAACAAGATAAATATGAAAAACAAAATATTCACCTGTATTGGACTAGCTGCCATGAGTAAACCTGCTACACCACCACCAATCACACGGCCATCTGGGCTAGCTAACGTCACACTTAATCCGCCACAACGGCTTCTCATTCCACCATTATCAGAAATCGTGTAAGAACCCGTTAATGTTAAAATCTCAAAACGGCCCTGCATTTTAATGGCCACTATTTCAATATTAGCACATTAGCTTTTTCTTAAAATAACAAGATAAGCCACTCTTAAACTCAAAGAGGCTTGCTTTTAAAACCAAAGCCTCTCTATAACTATGTGGAATTTCACAGACTTTAGTAGTAATCTGTTTCGACCAAAATAAGAACATTCGACACGAATTTTAACATGATCTTTTTGCAACAAAAAACTTGTACATGAATATCCATAGCATAATAAGCAAAATGCAGCTCAAATAAAAAGGACAAGATCCCAACAATAGAGAGAAATCATAATAGTCTAAATTACAAAATTATGCAAGAACTAAAAATTTAAGCCATTGGACATTTTTAGAAAAATAAGAGAATCATGCCTCATATGTCAACAAGCCTCCAGACGAGCCAGGCTGGCGAAGGGTAACATTCGATACAGATCCATTAGCAGAGAGAACACAAATTCCTCTATGATCCTTCTGTGCAAATGTGAGTATCTTCCCAGCAACATCCTGATAAAAATGAAAGCTTTAATGCTCAACACAGATTAAGGAGTTAATAAAACATTGACTTTATGCCAAGATTGGTCCATTCATTTTTTATTTTCTTTAAGCTGACTAAAGTTGTTATTTTTACCTCTCCAGTATGTAAAGTTACCACATGGGGTGTAAAGTCCCCTCCTGCTGTGTTTGCAAACAATTCACCTGTACATGTAAATAGCAAAAAACATAAGACCAAATCTTTATAATGTGAAAATTAATGAAAGTAAAATCTTGCAGGGGAGAAAGAAATATTTTATTTGTCAGAAAAGATAAGCATTTTAAGAGATGGAGATGAACAAGATCTAAATGGAAAAATTGAACCAATCTACCTTAAGATTTAGTGGAAAACTTTTGTGAATGTCTGCCAATTCTTGAAGTTGAAAGACAAAATGGAAGTGATTCACATACTGTAGCTTGAAAAAAGAAAAGAAAAAGCTGAAGGTCACTTTTTTTAGGAATCACAAGATATTAATTTAGTCAAAGCAAGATTTTTTTTGCAACACATATCAATTTTTTATGACTATTAGTATTAAGCTTCAAATCTGAAATCCCACAAAAAGGTACCCATACATAATACATTAGCAGTTTTATCAATAGTAAATGAGCTCTTTTTGGGAAGGTAGCTACACCCACTTTGAATAAAGTGAAGTTGAAGGACGAACTTGCAAATAGAAAAAAAAAAAGGAAAATCAGATTGTAGGGTTTTAGCATTTTACCCAAGGAAGCAAGAACCGGCCAGCTCGTGTGCCCAGAATGATGTTTGCCGCGCCCCCTTTTAGGGCCCACCGAGTAATCGTACGACGGTGGCGTCGACAGCGTAAACCCCGCCTGCGGCGGCGCCGCCGCCGCCAAAGGCGGCGACTTTATGTACGCCGGGTTTAGGTTCCCCTCGGCGTCGTACTTTCTGGGCCTCCCCCTCTTCTTCTTCACCGCCGTTAAATCTCCGTTGCCGCCGCCGGGACCACCGGAGGGCCCACCACACCCCGGCAATCCCCCGCCGGATACGGCTCCACCGCCCGATTCCACGGACGCGGCATGCTCCGCGCTTATGTTCACGTTTATCAGTCCCGGGGCGCCGCCACCGCCGGAGGCGGCATAGTCTCCGGCGCCGCTCAACGGCGGCGAATAGGACTCCGGGTTGCCGCTTAAAGAACCGGAATCAGTGCTCTCCCTGTCCTCCATCTCCATTCCGCTTTTTTTCAGCGAGTTCTGCAAAAATCTTGCGTTTCAATGGATTAAAGAACAGGAAAAAGAGTGATTGTTTTGAAAGATTTACGGGCGACAAAACTGGCGCCTAAGCTTATCCGCTGATGGGTTTCAATATTTTAGATTTAATTTGTATGTGGGTGAATATTTTGTAAAGAAAGGCAGAATTTCCTCCATTAATGGACTGGGAAAAAGCTCGAGGAAGAAAATGTAAAACCCAATATTTTTTTTTTTTTTTTTNAATTCTAAAAAAGGTCATGGATATCTTTTTTTTCTTCCATTATTGGATTAATTTATTGAATGAAAAATCCGCAGGGATATGGTTATGTGACACTATTATTTAATGGTTTAGTATCTATATATATATATATATATATAAGTTTTATTATTTTTTAAATAGTAACAATTTTTCACTCAAAAAAAATCTATTTACTATTTAGAAAATTAATTTAATAATTTATGATATATTTCAAATAATCATTTATGAAAATTGTGACTCATTATTTAAGGAAATAATTAAATCATAATACACATTGGTTAAGGTAGGAATTATTAAAATCCAGAATTATATTAGGAACTATTAAAATCTGATATCTATCATTATATAAAAAGAATAACCTTTTTACAATTTTAGAAATGTTTTTCCGCCAAATACATTAAATGTATCCTATATATAGTAATTATTGGACAATATTGATAAGGCAACAAAATCGGCAGATTAATTGTGTTAGAATCTGTTTTCCTTTTTCCAGTTTTTTGGTATTGAAAATCGCGTTATAAAATCTCAAATCACATTGCATACGATCTCACGAGTTTAAAAAATCTCATCTTAAAATAAAATAAAAACCAATTCATAGTTACTACTAGACATTCATTCTCTACTTTAAAAAGCTATTTTCATTGGTCTTAAAAAGTATAATAATAATGGTGTGTAATCAAATTTTTTAGATGGAAGTAACGCCATAAATTCGGTATCATCTGACAGTCTTTTTTAAATAACAAATTGTTTAGACATTTTTTTTACATATTCGTCTATATATATATATATATATAAATATACACATATACATAATTGATGTTAAATTTAAATATTTGTAGACATGCTTTCTTTACAAAATAGTCTAGAAAAATCTTTTTTACACAATGTTAAATTCAAATATTTTACATATGTTTTCCTTCTAAAATTGTTTATAAAAGTTGTAGGTGACTTCACATCTTTCAAAAATAATATAGAAAATTTTGAACATTTTTACATATACTAATATAATATTTTAGGTGCTTTTAATATTAAACATACAAATTTTATATTCTCTTATACAAAATAATGTAAATTTCATATTCTCTTATACAAAATAGTTTTACATTATTTGACCCTGAATCTTTAATTTATAATTATTAAGCATTGTTTATCCTCCTCTTTAATTTATAATTATATTTTTTCTTTCTCTTTTTAAATACGATCAATAGTAGTTTCCACTTCCGCCATTGAGTGACTCAAACTCGAGGTCTATTTATAATATTGTTAATTAATATTGTTCTCGTGCATCGCACGGGGTACACTCTAGTTTTAAGCAAAACATTGATTATATTCGTGACTATCTAATTGATTAGATTAACGCTTATCTAAGGATAGGATCCATTTAACATGTTATTGATATAGTTGAAAAGGTTTAGAAATTATTTGTTGACAAAAATAAATAGAATTAAATAAATCAAATTTCTCTGATTTACTAAAATCTGTTTGTATGCTACAGTCACTAGGAATTATTAAAATCGGAGACAACACATATAATACATTCGTGATTATCCACATAAATTTTTAAATATATAATAAGATTCTACCAAAATAATTATTTTATGGAACCACGTTGTATTCAAGTAGAATTTCAAAATAAATATTTTAAAATGACACTTATTTTGAAATAAATATAATAAAATTTATTATTAGTTATGTGCACAATACGGGTTGTATACTAATTTTAAATAGACATGTTTTATGCACTTTTGCACAATTTAAATTTCCTATTCGATTGTAAATAAATTAATATAGGTAAATTGTATTGCATATTTGTTCCATATTTTAATTTATAGATATTATTTAATGATCATTTAATTTACAAATATTAATGAATATCTCTTACCCGTGCATCGCACGAGATTCGTACTAATTTATAATGTAACAAATTTAATTTACTTTTTCCAGGAAAGAAATGCCATATTATCTACTGCAAACTAGTGGTGATAGTCGGTCTCGGGACGATGTCGGATTGGCTAGTGGTGTTAGCCGGTGGGGGGAGATAGTGGCTTCTTGCGGCTGGAGTGCGGGTCAATTTTTCGTTTTGTTTTTTAGGCTGGGATCATCGTCTTGCTAGGCCTTATGCAGTGGCGGGTGTGGTATCAGAGCTTCGGAGCTCTCCTCGGAATCGACTTTGTCTGCCGTCCTCTTCGGATGTATTTGCTGAGGGAGGCTGTGTTGTTAGTTTAGTTGTTTTTGTTTTTAGTGTGTTCGTTTTTGTTTGTCGTTTGTGTCGGTGATTGTGTTTGTAATTGTGTTTTAGGTTTGGGCGTTTGCCCCTGTGAGCCTGAGTGTCAACTTATTATCCTGTTGGGATCCGATGCTCGGGGCATTACTCTGTTGGGGTCTTTTTTTAGTTGTTTTAGTTGTTCGAGTTGTTGGTTAGCTTAGTTGCGAGTGTTTTATTCTAGCGTTGCTAGTCGGGACTCTAGGCGGTCTTCTGACCTGTCCTCCCACTTTTTCAGTTGTTGGCTGTTGTGTATTCAGTCGTTGGCTGCTGTGTATTCGCACATTTGTGCATTTTGATTTATAATAGTACCTATCGTTTCGGGAAAAACATTACATTAAAATACATTCAACNAAAAATAAAAAAATCTACTGCAAACTAGTGCATAGCCCGTGCGATGCACGGGACACATATATTAAATAATTAATTTCTATATGGTTTGTACGTTTAGAAACAAAAAATAATAGAATTGGACCATCAATTTTTCACTTCTTTTAATCAATGACTAGTATGTAACCCGTGGGATGCACGGGCTGTATTTTTATAGGATATATTATAAATTCAAGTGTATTAATAAATAAAAAAATAAATATTATAAATTGATGTGTATTATAAATAAAAGAGTGATAATATATAGGAAAATTATCAAATCATAAAAATGTTCCTCATGAAAAAAATAATATATTATTAAAAATCTCCTTGTACACAACATTATTAATTTAATTACTAAGAAACTCGTCGTCCCACAAACTAATATTTTCAACTCATTTCCATTATTTACACACGAAATAACAACATAGAATTGGGCGTGACTAAAAATCAGACTCGTCATCCATACAAAACATAAGTAGGAACTGGCGCAACTTAAATGATAACCTAAGGTCGGGAGGGTTTAGTTATCATATGATAATTTACATGGTTGTTCGACAAATGAGCTGTTAGTTTATCATTTTAATATTGATTATACTTGATTAGCTAAATAATACTCACTCATTTTTTTAATAAGTGTCGTTGTTTGTCCCATTTTTGTTACGTTTTTACTTATTGTTTTGTCGCTATTTTTCCCCCATTTTAAGTCTTTACATTGGTTCATAGTTCGTTTTGTAGTTTATTGCGTATTTTTCTTTATTTTGGTTCTCTTTGTGTTTTTTGTGTGTTTTCTCTGATTTTTTTTCGTTTTTGGTGTGCAGGTCAGAAGCCCCGTGAGGAATCGATTTAGCCCCAACATCGACCAGGTAATCATGGTTGCGTAGAAGGGTTCGTTAGCGATATATAGGAAGAAGAGGAGCTATTTTTCGAGCTTGGACGAGTCCGAACGGGCCCAAAATGCGTAGTCGCGCGAAGTACGTCTTTGGTGTGCCGGTCATAAGCTTTGGGAGAATATGATTTCAAGAATAATTTGGCCATGCAAGCATCATTGAATAGAGGGGTTCGTTAGCGATGTGTAGGAAAAAACAGAACTCAATTCCGAGTTAGGGTGAGCCCAAACGAGCCCGAAACGCAAAGTCACGCAGCCCAGCCCCCTAGCGGCGCTAGGGTAGCTAGCGGGCTTCTGAGGCTCGGCACCCTTGACCCTAGTGACGCTAGGCCCCTTAGCGGCGCTAGAGTCTGTTTTTGTATGCAGAAGTGGGTTTTTCTCGAGTCTTTCAAAGGTGATGGGGATATGTGATCGAGATGGGAGCATTTTGACCGAAAAATTCACCTTGTAAACCAGTTTTTTGGACCCAAGAACACCATTCTCTCCTCTTCTTCCCCCCTTCTTCTCCTTCTTCTTCCCTTCTTCTCTTCCATTTTTCTTCTTCTCTTCACCTTTCTTTTCCATTTTTTCTTCTTCTTCTTCTTGGTATTTTAGGATTATGCTTTGTATGAAGATTCAACACTTGGATTGAATAAATTGGAAGTTTGTTTTCCCTTTTAATTAATTCATGAAAATGGTTGATTTGGGAGAAATGTTTGATTGTGTTGAATGTGATTCACTTAGCTAATTCCTATTGCTAGGGATAGGGGATGATTGTTCTTGTTTAATTCGTAATTGTTGGGCTTTAATTTGTTCGTTCTTGTGCGAGTTGATTATGATAGAAATTGATGAATTCTTTCTTGACATTTGATAATTTGATATAACCTAAGAGTGACGCTTCGATTTTGCGATTGAAACGATTGAATATTGATTTGTTGAGTTAGGGTTTGTTGATTCTACATGATTAGTTGATTAAACACCTTCTAATCTAATTAGTGACTTTTAGAACTGATAGGGGAGGAGTCGTAGAACTAGGCTCGTACGAGGTAGACATGTTCGGAGACGTATTGTCTATAGGTTTCAGATTGAAGTACACGCTTGTCAATGTCCCTTCCCATGTTACGAAGAGTTATTTGGATTGGATTATTGGCCGGTGTTGTATGCTCGAACTTGTTCGTCTATGTTCAATCCCATGTTACGAAGAGTTATTGGGAGCGAACCGCTAGATGTTTAAGCGAGAGCATCAATCTTGAACCGAACGATTAATTGTCTGACTTTATGTTTCGAATTTGAATTAATTATCTCCGATTCCCTAGCTTCTTTATCTTTGTGTCGTTTATATTTTTAGGTAGATTTATGTTTTATGTTATTTCTTAGTTTATAATTTTCCGACCCTATCGTGATTAGAATGTTTAGGATTTATTTTCCTTTTGTGTGTTATCAACACCACTTCTAAATTTCGATCCACCTTCCTCGAGAGA